CAGGAACTAGTCCAGAACCAGCAGGAACTAGTCCAGAACCAGCAGGAACTAGTCCAGAACCAGCCAGGAACCGGTCAATGAAAGTTCTGACCTGTAGTCGGTTCTAAACTTTTTTTTTTTTGGTTCTGGTTCTTGTTCTGCTCCAAAGTTCAGGTTGTTTCCAGCAATTAGTCTGACCCAGAAGACCAGCCAGGAACTAGTCCAGAACGGATCCGTCTGGTCTCTTCAGAACTGACCGTTTTTAGTCCTTCAAAGATCTGATCCAGGTCTCTGAAGCAGGTTCTGTTCTCCAGTCAGCAGTTCAGAACCAGAACCACACCAGTCCAGTTCCAGTCCAGTCAGACAGGTTCGGTCCTCTGCGGTCTGGTTCCGAGTTGTTTGGAATAAAAAGAATAAATTAAAGAGTTCTGAGTCCAGCGGGCTCGGTTCGGTTCAGGTGATCACGTTCAGAGAAAAGGGTCAAAGGTTCGAGACCCAGGAGGAGCAGGACCTGCTGCGACCTTCAGAAACCGTCCACGAAGCACTTAAAGGTGAGTCTGAAGAATCGCATCAGAACCGGACTCACGGAGAGGACCCGGAGGACAGAGAGGACGGCCGGACCCGGATCGTGTCCCCCCTAGACCACAAACCTCACAAAACCAACAAAAGGCTCGTGAGGAGGCGCGGGGTCCAGGTTCGGCCTGGTTCGGTCTATAGAGGAGTGTGTGCAGGTCTGGACCCAAAGCTTCGGAGGCGGATTACAGTCCTGCAGGTCCGAACGTCCAACTGTCCGTCCGCGCGCAGCGGCGGCTTTAAAAGGACAGAGACTGCGCGCGTGACGTCACTGGCCACGCCCCTCACTCCCACTCACGCTGTCGGTGTCTCTGACGTCACTGGGATCCCTGCACACGATTCGCATGAATGGACCAGAACCGAACGGTCCAAATAGAGCTGAGCGCATCTCCCAGGTCCTGGATCGGGTTTTGGATCAGAACCGAGCCTCCTGCTGCCCTGGGGTCAAAACGACCCTTGACCCTGCTGGGTCACTTTGACCCCAGGGCAGCAGGAGGCTCCATGTTTGTTCTCGCTGAGGCTCGGTTCTGCAGGTCCAGTTCCACCAGGATGAAACCTGATTCGGACCAGACCGGTTCTGGTCTCTCCTCATTTCTAAAATGCTTCTAGTTTTTCAGGTCCAAAACGATATAATACATCAAACAGCTGGTTCTGATCCAAAACCTGGACCTGGTTCTGATCCGGGTTTGTTTCCTGAAGGATCCAGTTTGATCCAAAATGAGTGAAAAAACTAAAGATTGAAGAACTTTTCACAGAACCAACTGGGCCCAGAACCAACTGGGCCCAGAACCTCATCACCAGCTGACAGAACCACCTGGAACATCTCATCTGGATCAGGATTTCAGAACTTTGTTGGAAATGGACCCCGGAGCAGAACCATCCAGACTCAGGAGAAGTCCACAACCCCGGTTCTGGTTTTAGATCAGGGTTCTGATGATACAGAACCATTCTGCTCACCTTCCAAAGTTCTGAAGAGAAGATCCAGGACTGAAAGTTCTGATGGACGCAAAGCGGGTCAGAACAGGGAGACTGTTCAGAACTGTTTCAGGTCCAGACCATCAGAACCTGCAGCCTGAAGGGCTTGACTCAAGTGGGACCCGTCTAACTCCTGGACAACAGTTCGGTTTGATTCCGTCTGGGTTCTTCAGAACCTGTCGCCCCCTGGCGGCCGCTCCTCGAACTGCACCGGACCGGACCGGACCGGTTCTGTCGTCGCTGGGTCCACATCAGAGGACACGAGACAACCCGACTCGGGTCGAACCAGAACCAGAACCATGTGATTGTTGTCATCTCTCAGTAAAAGTCCAAAAAGGTTCTGGAAAACCCGGAAGAAGCAGAACGACCGAACAAACACGGAAACTTTGATCTGTTTTAGTTTTTAATGCAAAAACAAACAAACAAACAAACAAACAAAGATGAAAAGAAATCAAACAATGTTCAAATAAACTTCAAACGTTTGATTTGAATGTTTCAAATCAACAAAATTATTGTTTAATAAAAAGTTACTGATCCAGAAAATCTACATGAAAACAAACAAACAAACAAACAAACAAACAAACAAACATTTCTCAGACTCAAACGAAGTGAGTCCAGATTAAATCCTATTTTATGAAATGAAACATAAAAACCTATAAAACATTAAATAACCAGACAGGTGGAGAAACATTAATAATATTAATAAAGACATTAATGAAACTAATAAATTGTACGAATGTTGAGTTCGTTGTTTTTGACAAAATAAACTTCATGAAGTTTCATAAAAATAAAGAATAAAAGTTTTTGGGTTCTTAGTTTGGATCAGATCCTGATGGTCCAGAACATGGTCCACTCAGACCCGGTTCCTCCCAAATGTGTCCAGGTGGAGAACATCTGGAGGAACTAAAGCACCTGCGTACAGAACCAGATTGGATCGGGTCAAAGAACCAGTCCAGGTCCACGTCCAGGTCCACGTCCAGGTCCACGTCCAGGTCCACTTCAGTCATCCTGCTGCAGGTTGGCATCTTATTTTGAAAGTTTTGAACCTGAGGGGAGAGGAAGTGGAGGCTCAGGATCCTTTTTCTTTACTTGAACACCTGCAGGACAGATACAGGAGGAGCAAGAGGAGGTGGAGGAG